GGAACCCGGTATGAATGCTCCGAAACTCAAGTTAGAATTCTCTCAAAGGCAAGATAGAACCAGATGGCGCAAAGTTCACATACCTTGTTCTTGGGGGGTAGGGAACTTTTTATAACCACCTCGTGCACTCACTTCTAAGCTTCTGTCAGGTCGGGTATGATTACCTCTGGGCTCCTACCAGTTCGGGTGTCATCCCCTCTGCTAGACAGAACCGCCACTGCTCTCTTTGTCGGAGCCGTCTTTGCGACTGGCGATGATGGTGGTAGGTGGCGGTGGCAGGTGGCCGTTGAAATGCAGCTATCAAGCGTCAGATCCCAAGTCAGTCAGGTGCGCCGCCCTTGGATACGGACCTCCTCGGTGTCAGGTATGGTATGTTTGTTCAGTTCGGCGTCCTGGAGGCAAAGTGCTGGAGTGGTGAGCGAGGTGAAGTCTTGAGTTCAAGATAGGGGAGTGTCCCGAACTGCTATGAGGCGGGCCAGTTCGGGTCATTGCCTTGTGTGAGGCTCGGGGCCCAAGGGAGAGTTCGGGCTCCTTGTAGGGAGTTCAGGCTCCTTGTAGGGAGTTCGGACTGCTGGTAGGGAGTTCGGACTGCTAGTTCCTCCCTTTGGTGCTCGCGCCCCAGGCGCGCTGTTGTGCCAAGCTGTTTGCCTTTGCCACATGTTGAGTGATTACAAGGTCGGATCAATTCTTCCTTCATCAAGTACCAAAAACAAATAGAGAGGAGGGCTTGAGCATTTTAACTCCGATGAATCCCTTTCACATCTATACTACTTATAAAAAAGCAAATGCCCTTTTCTTTCTAGAATTTTCATTGGACAATTTCTATCCACATGTCTAAGCATACAGTGGACATAAAAATGGCATATATATTCCTTATTCTCACTTTAAAAACTGTCATGTGCAGATGTGCGCACCTGTTTACTAGTTTCACAAATAGTCGCTTGAACTCTAAGCGGCTCCTACCCAACAGTGAATGCAAGAGATCTCAGTGACAAACGCTTGAAGTCCACTTTCGAGATACAGGAGAATGATATGCCACATTTGAGAACGTCTTTGAAAGATGCCTGGATCGTAATTTGAAGAGATGTGCGGCAAACCAAGCTCATAATTTGAGGCTTCTAGAAGATAAAGTAGATTAACCAAGGTTTATCTGAGGCTCGTTAGATCTGATTGTGGAGCTATCTCAGTCGTATTCTTGGAGAGATGGAGGGAGGGATCTTTTAGGCCATGTTTGGTTTGAAAGAAAAGGTAGGAAAACCTATACAAACCTTGTACACGTTTCCCTACATTTTCTTTCAAACCAAATACAGCCTTAAATTTTTCTTGAAGAAGTCAGGTCTTAGTTTCTTGAATTCTAGTCTACAGTTGTATACCGAGGTTCTAAATTTCGGTATTGAAAAGTGTATCAGTATAGTATAGATATGGTGGAATTATTGAGCAAGTATGAATATCAAGAATGTTTCGATAAATCTTATAATTACATTAATAATACTAAATCTAAGTTTGAAATAATTATAAATAAGATATAAATATATTTTAAATTTGGGGATGTTTGGAAAATGAAAGAAAAATGAAGTATTGAATATTAATTAATAATAACTTTTATTAATACTATTCTATCTGTGAAGTATTTGAAATTGGATTAAAGGTTAAAAGGTAAAACCTTTATTGCTTAAACAAATTTACTGTGGTTAAGTGATAAAGTTTTTGTATTTGTATGTCACACACATAGGCATGAGCTTAATCCTCTAAGCTTCAATGTAATTTGGACTTTGGCATTAATTATGAATTTTAGTTGGTAATGTTTATAATTAGAAGTGTCTTCATCATCTCCTTCGTCAGCCGGTCTTTAGCCGTATAGTTTTCGGTTTTGGTGGGTCATCTCCTCTATGGATGTGACATTTGACACGATGGAATAAAAAAATGCAGTGTGGCACAGCGGAGTGAGAGATGGAAGATGCATGCATCCAAGGAACTTGTCAATTTTAGCGTCGTCAGTCCAACTAAGTTGAATTTGGATTTAACGGATATTAACGATATAAGATGGTGAAATCAACTGCACATGGCACATGGGCCCTGGGGGGAACGAAGGAGGAGGGTCATTCCTCATTCCTGCTTTTCCACTTCCCACCTTTTATCTATATGCGTGATTGGGAACTCTTGAGTTTGGTTAAAGCTTAAAAAAAGGACATCCCCCTCGTTGCTAGTGTTAGGAGTCTGGTGACTGACCACTAACCACCGACCACTGTTAGTGGATTACCGTTTTATCTGTTAATCCTAAAGTGATTGACCCCACTTTGTGTTTTACTTTAATACCCAGACCCAGGCAGCCATCAATCTTAATGATCTTCACTGTGTTTTGATTTGTATTATATCACAGTGACTAATGAATCGCAGACTGTAGAAAAAGAAATTAAGCTTTTTTTTTTTAATATTATTTAAGATACGATTATAAAAAGTAGTCACCCATACAACCATCATTGCCTTTTCTTTACTTTGGCCCCACTCTCATTTGGGAAATACAACACCCTTGAAATTCGAAACCCAAAGGAGCGATTCACTCCACTCCAACATTTGAGACTTAACATTAACAGTTACAGTAATTGAGGAATTAAGAAATAAATAAAAAACAAATCATCATCTGCAGTCTGCACTCACTACTACTAGCAGTACGTACTAGTATTTAGTATAATAAGTAAAGAAGGAAGAGACTAACTAGCAATTACTTTGGTAGATTACGTACTAATGCCTATTAATCTCTACTAAGTAGTGGTTGTAACCGTGTCTTCTCCCCCCTCTCTCTCTCTTATGATCTTATCTATATATGTCAATGTATTTGAGTCATCAAGGGCATTTGGGTCCTCCACGCTTGGTCTTCCAGTTGTTGTAGCAGGGACATACGCCCTTGTTGCCGTAAAAACCCGGAGGCACGCACAGGCATTTGTTGCAGCACTTCTGACAGAAGAACATGCATGGCTTGTGGTACTGTGTCTTGCTGCATCTCCTCGTGCATTGCGATGGGCATTCTGATCATTTTCACACACATCAAAGTTCAAAGTTCAAACACAAACCAACGTCAATCTATGATTAATATCAAGTTCAATCTCCCAGCAATTCCCCCCTCTCTTTCCCAGTCTCCCTTGAAATCCTTCTTTTTCACCCGTCAGATTAAATTGGTTTGACTGACGGGCTATAGCGCATTTTATGCACTGGTTTGCGCGATCTTGGTTTAGTTAGCAGGAGAAAGTAGAAACAAGAAGCAAGAAGCAGCAGAAGAAGAGGGTATAGATAGATACTTACGGTATGATTTCAGACTCCCTGGTCCAGATCGGTTCTGAAATATACAAAACATTGATGGTGTTTAGTCTATAGAACCCGCTAAAGCAATTAAGTCCAGACGGAAACTATCCATGAATCACTTGTATATATTTCCAAAATCGAAAAAAAAAACAGAGAATATGGGTAAGAGGGCTTACACTATCCAAGTGATATTCTGCCTCTCTGGCTGATACCTGCAATAAACCAGAAAAGAAGAAGAGAATAAGTAAAATGAACATCCAGGATAAATGCTTTTTGTTTTTGGTAATGGTAATGGTAATGGGGTTGGCTTAATCTAGGCTAACGTGAACCGTGTGGGGCTCAACCCAAGCAAGAAATTAAAGCACTCACCACGGTTCCATGGAGAACAGAGATGGCAAGCAGTACCAACAACATCACACCCACAAACTTAGCCATGGCCATTCTGCTACCAAATTACAAACAAACGCAGCAACAAATGAGCAAACAAAGAGGAAACCCCTTCCCTCCTCCTCTTTCTTGTCTAAGGAAAGAAGACAAGCGAGAGAGAGCGCTAGAAAAGAAGGATGAGGAAGAAGAGGATTTGGTTGCAAGGGTCGTAGGAAATGGAGTATAAATAGGAGTGATGTGCTTCGGACCCCACGCCTAGTCCTAGAGGTAAGAGGTGGTGGTGATGGGCTGGTGGCGGTGGCGCCATTTGGAATTTGGATAAAAGATATCACTAGCCTTCATCTTAATACAAAGCTGTCCAGCATTCATTTTCATTTTCTAATAATGTAATCATTTCAAGTACATCCAGTAGTAAAAATACACTCAAAGAGTCTAAGGTTTAAAAGCTCAAAATAATTTAATTCTCAGTTATCCGACATGCTTGACCACTGTATGGTAGGATCTGGACTCCAGTGTTTGGACCTAATTGAATAATCGACTCTGCTTGGGGTCCATATGTCTCAACTCTGAACTTGGTTAATAATAACCTCTCAGCTTGGCTCTGCTTCCAAATTCCAATCTGAGCATGTGAATACGTTAGCCGGTGGCCAACAATTGTTGTAGTGCATGAATTTCACAAACCGTCGAGGATTTAAACAGTGTTATTTATTTTAGTTTTATATTTGGGTTTTTTTTTTTTTGGTTATTCGTAAATAACTTTTCCAAATTGCTAATTGCGGAATTTGATTCTCATCAACGCTGGATTAACACACCAACGAGGTTGGTGGCTTTGAATGACTCAAAGCGTAAAAGTAAATAGCACTGTTTAGAGCCTCAATGCTTTGTGGACTTGATGCCTTGGAGTAAGGACGGTGGTTTTTGGTGATTATAATGTTGCAGCTGGCGTGGATGCAACTTTTACTACTAAGTCATAACTCATGAAGTCATGATGGGCTGTTTCCCATGTGCTGGCTCTGAACGATGCACATGACCTAAAGCGGATTCCAAGGGACAAAAGTGCATTCCGTGCGCTGTAACCCATCCCTTTCATATTGATCGCAGTCTGACCCTATTCTATTCATAATCATATCATCATATTAATTTCAGTTGTACGACTTAATCCATCATCATTAATCTAAACAGATTTTATTGACTAAATCTTTATCTCTCCCCGGCCACTTAACTTAGCCTTAAACCCCAACTCCACCCTCACCGCCCTATTACACTATCTGAAACACATTAATGCATTCGTTATTATAATTAATGATGTATCTCCAATTTGAGGTTAAAACGCCCCTATTGCAAACAAAGAATACTAAATATGGCTTAAATAGTGAAGCCATAGGATAGGAGTTAACGGAAAAACGCCATGAATACATTCAACGGGATAGTACGTTTCTAAGAAGAAGAGGAACAGTGGTGGACTTCACCAGATTAAGCTATCGGAAACATGTTGATATCATAAACCTACCTCTATCGAAAAGATCTTTCCTTTGCAAGCAGTTTATAATGAATCCTTTCAGGCTTTCAGCTTCTATACATTTGAATCTCCTTCGATGATGATGATGATGATATAAGTAAAATAAATACATGGATGTTTACACTTATGCTACACTTGCCATGTTTCTGTTTACCGAAATCTTCAATCTTTCAGAACGGTCGGTGAGGTTGCAGCAGGTAGGTTGTGATTCGTAATTAATAATGATGATGTACGGTACCTATATAACAGTGCGTGCTACATATACACAACACTGTCCTGTTTGCTGTTTCCGATCTTCTTCCCGTAAATGGGGCCTGACATATTTAACCCCCCCAACTTTTGATGTGTAATAAGTAATGTAGGAAGATAGATGATGCATGGTGACCACTGGGTGGGTGATGGGTCCCAGGCCACAGGCTACAACGTGGTCCGACCCCATCTCATAAACTTTGCCACATGTCCTCAATCCCCTGTTTATCGAATCTAGACTCACCCACCACATGTCACTTAAGAAAATTTCTTAGTGGGCTTCGGTTCGGTTGGGATTTTCTTAAAATTTAAATGGATCTGGATCTGGCTCAAAAGACCTGAGCCCGATGCAGTGTGAAATGAGAGTCATTTAAATATATTAAACTTAGGTCACATTAATGTTTTACATGGTTAATCTAGGCAGTGTTTGGTATGAGAGTCATTTTTCCACAGTGTTTTACATGTAAGTATTTTGATCTTTCTCTCAAATATTCTTGTTTGGTTGAATATTTTTAAATTGTTTCAAGCAAAATAAATTAGAGAATCTATTGTTTCAGCTACATTTGAGAAATGCTTAGAATCCATCCATGTGAGTGCAATTGGAAAATCAAATTAAGGTGAAAGCTAAGAAAATAGTACAAACCTATGTACGTAGAAGGTGGACAATTATTGAGCTGTCTCACCATGGGCATGTATGTGCAAAGGCAATGATCAACATCCACATGGAGCCCCAGCAACTTGCCTTGAATGAGTTTTAAACAGAGATCCAACACAAATACATATATATATTAAAAAGAAAAAAACAAATAGAGATCCCACACCCCATTAATAATATATGAACCCTAATGTCCCCATTACCACTTGAGACCATATAATAACTAAATAATTTTTTACAATAACGTTTGCACTTCTTTTATAAACAAATAAAAGAAATTGTGCAATTAGATTTGTATCATCCAAATCTATGAAGAAAATCGTTTAGGGTACTGCAGACATCCTGGAAACGTCAAACTGGAATCCATCTAAACCTAATTGCCATGAATTCTTACATGGTTGAATAGGATGAATTTGAATTTGAATGAAGCTGAAATGCGTATTTCTCTTGTCGAAACACAACTTTCTATTTAATGCAATGTGGGAATATGCCCTGAATGGTGTGGATCGCACAAAGGGACGAGAAGCTTAATTATTGCATACTAGGAACCAACATGTGGGCATGTTTCAAATACAGCCAAAAAGTTTGCATCTCTATTTATACTAAAGTACATAATTGCCCAGTTTTTACCCCAACAAAAAAAAAAAGATATTTGCCTCATTTTATTTTAGTAAGGGTTATAAAAATTAAATCCAAATAGCTAATGCCTATTTATATAGTACATCCTCTTACACTAGTATTTATAATAGCATAAGTACTGGTATTATTGGGGCCTTATTTTCCTGTTTACAGCTGTTTATTGTATTAATCGCTTCAGTCCTTGTATACAACCAACAAAACATGTTTGAATTCCCTTCCAACATAATCTGGCATTGTGCATCTATGAATGCAAATGGGATCGGATCGGATTCGAATCAGTATATATTTGAATTCGATCTGACATTGTTCATGTCAGATTTGATCTGACTCGAAGATTCAATTGGATCTGATAGAACTCGAGCTGAATCAGGGGTGAAGTCAGGAATTTTTTATGAGAGAGACCAAAACTTATGCATGGCCCATAGGAAAGCCAACCATTGGGTGAAAAGTAAAGGAAGGGAGGAAACTTACATAAAAAAAGGTATTCAGTGTGCAGATTTCTAGACCATNGGGGGGGTATGGCTCCCCTGGGTCCCTCCTAACTCCTCCCCTGATCTGAATTCAAATCCTATCGGATCTTTGGATTTGATTTGATCCATGTGCATCTCCCCATGGGATTAGGATCAACCATAAAACCATGACTCGCCATGTATGTGATGTGCTGAAGGCTACTTTTAATAAGATGAACATAGCTGTTAGGTAGATCTTTCAACAGCCAAGTAGATAATAAGGCACATTGAAATTTGTAAATTAGGGGTGATAATTCTTGGTCTGGCCTAGCCTGCAAATTTCTGGGCCTGGGCCCAGGTTTTTGTTTACAAGCCCGGCTTAGGCCTGCATCAAGCCCAAAAAATTCTGCACCAGGCTTGTGCCCAACATATTATATATATATATATTATTTTATATTAAATATTTACTATTTTATATAAAATATAAAAAATAAGTTTTAACATAAAAATACTAATATTAATAAATTGACACATGTCAACAATGTGTGAACACTTGAACCAACTCAAGTATGAGATGATGGCAAGGCCTTCATTCTCATTGCGTAAGCAATGTGAGACTTTGAAAAACATTCAATGGTAGCATTCACTATTTAGTGTTGCTCTAAGTCTCATATTGCTCAAGAATAGGAATGAAGGCCTTGACTTCAATCTATAAAAGGATAGGTAAGCCAAATTAAACCAACTCTAGGAATAAAATGAGGCCCATGCCTTTTTCTTATGTTTAAGTCCAAAGCTTGGCCAAACCCTATTTAACTTGGGCTTGTGACATATTTTTTGCATGTATTACATGCTATTTAATTAAAAAAAATAAATAATTAATTTTTTATTGTTGAATGTTAAAGGCCCAAACTCATTTCTCATTAGGCCCAGAAAAAACCCGTAAGCCTGACTTGAACCTGGGCTTAGGTTAAAGCCCTCATCATTGGTGCTAAACCCAACTTGGGCCCGGCCTAGGTTATAGCAAGACTGTGCATGTCACCTTGGTTCTCCTTGCTCCATTACCCCAACCCTACATTTTCCTTGACTCTCTCTCTCTCTCCTCTCCCCCTTCCCACCACTCTCAATATGCCATCTCAGCCCCCTCTCTCTTCATTCTTCTCACTTCCCATTGGGTTCTCTCTCTCTCTCTCTCTCTCTCTCTCTCCCCCC